CTGGCAAAACTTAATATGGGTAAACCTGGTCATTTTGTAGTTTCGTGTGTAAAACGGTTAATTGGTTTAAGATATGACGAATATTTGAAGTTAGAAAAGAAGGATATATTTGGTTGTGATGTTGTTCGTGGAGATGATGGTTATCCATATTTCGTTGTGAGTGAAGATGGATCGAGAATGGTAAGTTGCATAGATGTTGCCTGCGAATTATTTAAGTGGATAAAAGCAAGTGCCGAAGCTATTTGTGAACGAACATTTGCCAAAGCTTATGTAACAAGGCCAGCTAATTTCCTTGATCATCAAGTGAAGGCAATTCGTCAAGCTGCAGAGAAAGCAGGTTTAAAAATCGACAAAATGATCACTGAGCCAACAGCTGCAGGATTATCATGGTGTAAAACTACAGTGAAAGAACTCTTTCCTACGTTAAAAAAAGACACCAATGTGTTTGTAGTTGATTTTGGAGGCGGCACTTTAGACTTTTCTGTGATCCGATATTTGGGAAATAATCAATTTAGGGTTGAAGATAACGCTGGAAATCCATGCCTAGGAGGAAATGATATAGATAATGCAATAATGGATCTTGTTTTAGCTAAATTGAGGAATGATTATGGTGTTGTAATCGACAAGTCAAAGAGAGGAACGGCACGAAAACTGGCAAGACTAAGGAACATTTGTGAAGATGTCAAGATTGAAGTCAATATGAAGACTACAGATGATGACAATTATGAAGCCTTTTTAAGGAAGAATGAACACCTTACATACGAAATCGATGTATCCTACCTAACTACTGAGGTTGAGGTCATTACACTTCCATTTAGGAAAGTAACTGAAGCAATTATGAATTGCATGGAATCTGCAGTACTAAAGCCTCTTAAGTACATTACAAGGAAGCCAAGTCAAATGCCAGGTTTACTGCCACACATTCTATTAGTTGGAGGTTCTTCTCAATTGGTGGTTTTCCGTCAGTTACTATTTAAGGAGCAATTTAAACGAAAACGATTTGAGAAAATCGATCCAATAACCTGTGTTTCTCAAGGAGCTTATGAATTAGCGTGCATTATGAACGATAAAAATGCAAAAATGAGCATGACAGAGCCTATTGCAATTTCTTATGGACTAAAATCTGGAAATGACCAAGTGGCAATTATCCTAAGCAAAGGAACGGCTATTCCTTGTACTTCCTCAGAGAAAATGTTTTGTAATTGCGATGACTATCCTGAAAGAATTAATATCAGTGTTTATCAATGTGAAGATGATGAGGGACAAGAATTGGTTGATATTGAGAAATGTACAGAGGTCGAGTCTTGGCAGTTTATAAATCCAGAAGACTGTAGACGACCTAGAGGACAACAACAGTTAACACTACGTTTGAAATTGGAAGTTGGAGGAACACTTCAAGTGATTTGTAAGGATTTTGCATTCAACAGAGTATTGCTGGACGAAAAAGCTGACGTACTGTATGAAAATGATTATTGTGTTTACTTTAGTCTTACATAAATATCACACCATAACCCGAAAAATACATTCTTTTAAATATTCTCTTTATTTAGATGTGATTTACAATTATATCTTAATTGCTCTCAAATCTAAAGCCCTGCTACTTTGCTACATTACATATTTTGATATGTGTAGCTCCTACAAAAACAATAATGATCACTTAAACGATTTGACAGAAATAGCTGGTATTTTTCCTTTTTGGTTCACATCAATAAATAGGATATTATAAGTATACCCTGATATTCCAAATTTATAATGCATATCATTTCATTTATTATTCCATACAGAACGATTCAATAATAGTATTCTACCTGTCTCTCTATTTCTTAGCAATATGTACAACCACGTAGTATTCCACATATCTAACCTTCTTTCCTGTGATCTTGTATCTTCTGATGCTTTTTCCACTTTGTTAGCAATTCCAAAAAAAGCCCAAATATCTTCATCAAATAGAGTGATTCAAATATCTCAGTTCCTATTGATATTCTATGAGTTCTGTATATTCTAGACAAACAATATTATCTCCTTATTATCTCAAGATCAATAGCGAAGCGTTTGATGTGGGGAATAAGAATTGGGTGGTGAGTCGTAGATTTATTACGATGAAAATTCAAACATTCTCGTCCACGTACACAAAGAGCAGCCAATGTATTATTTTGAGGAGATCGGGCTGATTGTTGTAGAATGTTCTTTCAGACACTGAGCGATTTGACATTGCTTCCTGTGAAGCTGTCGACCCCAATTACCTTCATTCCTCAGGGACCTATTCTCTCCGTAAGTTTTTCCAATGACCGTCGCTTTATTTCGATTGTTCGCAGCCCCACTTTGGTTGAAATCTACAACCTCGTCGATCCGAAGTAGGGTTGTTTCTATTTTGCGAGCTGTAGACATAATTGCGTGAAGATCACGACCAAATCAAAGGAATCCATCATTCCGAATGGCACCGTGTGGATCCACACTCGAGGGGAGGTTAAAAAGCAGAAGGTGTACTGTCCCATTTTGGTGGTCGCAACCAACAAGTCGCTGACCTTCTACGAAGTCTCAGTGAAGTCCTTTTACCTGGTTTCTCTCTCTTCCTCCCTCCCCTCACCCCCAGATCAAGAGCATCAAGCTGAACGTCTCGCAGCTGTGGTGCAATCACCTCAACCAGCTGGTCATCGCTTCGGAGACGGGAAGCGGCCGCGTTTACGTCTACACCGTCCGCGAGCTGGTCGTTACGGTCCTCTTTCGACTCCCTCTTGACGCCAGAGACTCCAGTCCTTGTCGCTGAACATCACTCCCGACCACACGACCACGATGGTTTCCACGTTTTATCGCGCGACGTATCTGATCCAGTACTGCCAGCAGCGCGGGTTTCTGTACGTTTTCGCGTTCAGCAATCGCGAGAACGAGTTCAAGTACTACAACACCGTCGCTCTGTGCGCCTCGTTTCGTTTCCCTGACCATCGTAGGCCGCAGACGGGTCCCGCGGTTCTGTCGACGAGCGATAACCTGCTGATGGTGCACTACAAAGTGTCGCAAGTGTCGTTCTGCGTGGACATCGCGGACGTTCCGTTCGACGCGGCGAGCAACATGTCGCTCCCCGCGGTGACGAAGAACGCGGTGTCGAAGCTGGAGCTGATCCTCTCCTCGAACGAGGTGTACCAGAAGGCGGAGATCCAGAAGGCGATCGAGGACCCGTCGTTCCGCTTCATCGAAGAGCCGTCGCTTCCCTACCGCAGCTACGAGGTCACGATTTCGAGCGCGTCGATCGGCTTGGAGCTGGAGAGCACGTTCTCAAGGTGGGCATGGCGGGTCGATTCGACGGCAGATTGTTCATGAACGCGCTGGACGGCCGCGTGCACGGCTGTCTGGACAGCTCCGCGTTCGTGAAGGGCTACACGGACACGATCAGTCCGATGCTGCGCTCCCAGGTGGAGGTCGGATCGTACATCACCCACATCAACGACCATTTCGTCGTCGGAAACACCTTCGCCTCCGTCCTGCAGCTGCTCCGTGAGGAGAAACGCCCGCTGCGGATTCGGTTCGAGCAGGGCCGCGCGGCGGACGATCCGTATGCGTATCATGGAGAGCTTCCGGTGACGGCGGTGAGCGAAGTGAGCGAGGTGGAGCGGCTGAGCGAGTCGCTGTATGACGAGGGCATTCACTATCTGCCGAACAACGTGATGATCGATTCGAACCATCACGCGATGCTGGTGATGCGGCTGCTTCTCACCATGCGGTCCGTCTCCACCATCGACAATGTCCGCTTCCTGCTGCGGCGCCGATCGGTGGTTCCGATGTACGTCAACGGCGAGTGGGTCGTCGAGAAGCAGCCCATCAGCGCCTACCCGCGGCAGCTTCTTCTGGAGCTGCTGGTGCAGACGATTCCGCAGGTGCTGCAGCAGAACCAGCTCGTCGATTTGTTCAACGTTCTCAACGCGGTAGGCGCGAAAAGAAAGAAAAGGATGATCGGTAGGACTACGCGTCGCTGCTTCACCGCGCGGAGAGCATCAAGGAGCTCGCTGCCTACGTGGAGGCGACGGCGAAGGACGGCAGCACGCGCGAGCTGAACGGGAACATCGCGGTGACGCAGTCGGAGTTTTTGGAGAAGGTGCTGCGCGCGCTGCAGCCGAGCATGACGCAGGCGAGCTATCTCTCCGTGGTGCTGAGCTACGTGCAGTCGCTGCTGCACCTCAACGTGCCCATCTCCGCCGATCTGTTTGCGTTTGGGTGGCGACTCACGCACAGGTCAAGTCATCTTCGCCAGCACATTCTCGATACCGCGGGGCCCAAAACCACGTCCCTTCTCTACTATCTGCACAGCACGGGCATCCTCAAGCACGACGTCGCCAGCGCGAAGCGGCAGCTGCTGCAGGAAGGCGCGATCTCCACGCAGCTGGCGCTGAGCACGCTGCGCGAAGCCAACGACTTCGAGACGCTGCTCAACTACTACAACAGCAAGCAGGACGTGGGGCTTCGGAAGCGGAGTGAGGCGTAGCTGGACATGCTGCTGCTGGTGCTGGGAAAGAACGCGAAGACGATGAAGGAGGGACTGAACATGTGGATTCTGACGGCGATTCGATTGGCCACCTCGCTCTACGACGACACAGAGAAGCTGCAGCCGCTGTATAGCACTTATGATTTCATTCTGCATTTCGCACCGGTAGGAGAGAGGGAGGGAAGCGAGCGCGTAGGATCTGCTGAAGGATGTAAAATATCCGGATCGGATGGGCGGATTGTTGGAGTTTGGAGAGAGCAAGGAGGGGGATGGACTGCCTAGCAAGGGGGATTCGTTGAAGCAGATTCTTCAGACGGTCAAGGAAACTGTCATTCGACTGGCTTTTGTGTGGATTGTTTGTTCGAGATAGCAGTGGATAGTGGAGAAGGAACGATGCGGGAGATGGTTTTGAGAAAAATGAGAGTTGGGAGGAAAAACTGGAATTCCAAATTTTAAAAACCATCTCAATCTCTTTCTCCTTTGAGGTTGCGGAGACCCGACTTCTGCAAAGAGCATATTATTGATGTTTTCTCCATTTCCTCAGCTCGTTCGAAGGTTGTCGAGAGGAATATCTCGTTTCGCCCCTCTCCGGTCTAGTTCGAGATGGGATAATATACAAAAGATAGTGCCAGCATTGCATGGGAAAGGAAAGGATAAGTTCAAGTGGATGGAGGTATTTGCATTCTTTTGCTCGTGACATTCAGACATTCAATCAAAACACGTCATCGCGGCTGTATGATGAAGATTGGTTTCTAGTGTTGTTTTGTATTGACAGATAGCTATTTGAAGGCGGTTATCAACTCATGTGGAAATGTGAAACAGCTTCAAAAGGTACGTTCTCCTCCTCGCTGTGTTTTTCAGGAACTATTGAGTTTTCAAGATGACGGTCCCTCGGAATCGCTTCCCTACACTCTCCATGGCTATAAATACTACAACCGAAAGACGCGCTCTGATTTCCTTCCTCTGTTCTGCCGAAAGAAAGTGGGTTCAGACGTCGAAGAAGTGATTCTAAACCTGGACAAAGAGTTTCCGGAAGGGTATTTCCATTCATCTCAAATGAGTCCTCTAGCTCTGTGACGGTGAACAACATGCTGGTTAGCGAAGACAGCCGCTATCTAGCCTACACAATCGACACGACAGGCGAAGAGCTGTACAATCTGTACATCAAAGATCTCTCCACTGGGCAAGTGGAAATGATCCAACGCAACGTCTATTCCTTCTCCTTTGGCCTCTCCCAAGGCGCCTCGCGCGATATCTACTACACAGTCGCCAACAACCTAATGCGCACGAACCGCGTGTACCGTCACGTGCTGGGCAGTTCTGCGACGCACGACGTCCCCGTCTTCGAAGAGCCCTCCGCCGTCTACTACTGCGACGTCAAGCGCACCAACGACTGCGTAGGTCCCTGGCTCCGAATCGAGCGCAGAAGTTCATGCTCTTTTTCTCGGCCTCCAAGTCCGACTCGGAGATTTTTCTGCAGCGACCCGGACGGGATTCGCCGGTTCGGCTCGTCCAGCGACGCGCGCAGGAGGAGTAGAAACGGGGAAACCCTGTCTGATAGGTGCTACGTCGAACACATCCAGAAGTTCTTTATCGTGGTTCGCAGCTCCGCGCTGAAGGCGTTTCAGGTGTTTTTGGTCCACGAGGACGACGTTTTCGCGGGGGAGAGCGATGTTTTCGCGGGGAAAAGCGCGCAGGCCGCAGACGCCAAGGGACTCATCGATCGCTGCTTCGAGCAGGGAAAAGTCGTGCAGTTGACACCGTCTGCGCCATCTGCATCGTCTGCGTCGTCTGCGTCAATTGCGTCGTCACATTCTGCATTGATCCCCGATGCTTATCGGATTTTCGATATGGATATTCTGAAAGTAAAGATGGCTGAGAGGAGTAATGAAAGCAACATATCATTCTCTACGAAAAGAGCTGTCATGGATTTCGCATCCGATCGCTTCAACTCGACCTCTATGATAACAATTTGAGCATTTCCGAGCAATTATTTCCTATTAACCACATCGGAGAAATCACCATCGAAGCCAATCCAGTATCACCCTTTTCTCTGTATTCGAAATATAGGATATCGACAGCAAAACCATTCTATATACACTTTCAAATCCACTCATCCGAGGAAACACGTACGAATATGACATCACCAGAAATACCTCCAAACTCGTCAGACAGATCGATCTCCCTTCCGATTTTGGATTACATCTGGATTCGTTCGACATTTCTTCCCAGATCGTTCCCTCCTTTGATGGTCAGGAAATCCCCACGATTTTTGTCATTCCAAAAAAAGCGGCGAAAAACGCCCCTGTTTTGTTAAGCAGTTATGGATGTTACGGTGTGGACAATCCCATCCATTACGCCTATCAGAATTTGTCGCTGCTAAAGCGAGGATGGATTTTAGGGTATCCTTGCGTGCGGTTGGGAAGTCTCGATGAAATCACATGTAGAGGAGGCGGTGATAAAGGGCCTCAATGGTATCAGCAAGGCTGCAGGACGAATCGGAGGAACGGAATTCGCGATTTGGACAGCGTGGTGGGGGCATGGTGCGAAGACCACCCTGTGTGCCTCACGAGCAACAGCGCTGGAGGCATCCTCACCGGAGCGTTGCTAAACGAAACAAACCATCGCGTGAGCAGCGTGATTTTGCATGTTCCGTTTTTGTTGCTGGAGGAGACGCTGACGAATCGGGGATTGCCGCTAACCGTCACCGAATTCGACGAATGGGGCGATCCGAGCGTGCCCGAGGAGGCATTGGCGATCTCGCAGATTTGTCCTTACAAAAACATCCGAAAGCGCGACTACCCCAATATTTACTGTATTTGCGGTGGGTTTGCGGGGTGTTTCGTGATGGGTAGGTTTAAATGATAAGCGAGCTCCGTATTATCACTCTCTGAAATATATAAATAAAATCCGTGAGTTTAATTCGAATCCTGATTCGGTGCAGGTAATCGATGCTCTGTAGGTCCTGGAGGAAGAGATGAAGCGTAGGTACGGAGGGCATTTTTGTGAGAATGATCCGAACTACAGTCTAACGTGTTCGACGCAACAATTGGCTTTTTTGATTCATTCAGTGGGAGGTGTTATATGAATTGTTTTCTCACAACCACAATTTGAAACAATCCCAAATACGAAATAACTATGGGATATACCACAATTCTCGGAAATCGCCTTTTATTTGTTATTTGTTTGCTCAATTCTTCCAGTATTTGTTTGCCTTTTTTGTATATTTCATGAACAAACAAGACAGAGATGACGAAGAACAGCGCACCGAGCTCGATGTCATGATTAGGCAATTATCGAATTCTGAGAGAATTCGCTCTATGTCTGAGATCTACTCGTGGGAATCCCCATGCTATATGCTGGAGTCACCTGTTGTAAAGGCACCCACTGTGAATACGAGTCGTTCGCGCTGTATGAGTCCCGTTATTCCAAGCATGGAGCCTTCTTCATTGAAAAGTGAGGGTATGCATATGGATAGCGAGACCATATCTGGCTCTTCTTATGCATCAAATTCTCACCTTGCGCCGATTAGCCATGATGCTAGAGGTCGGAGGTTTTCGGAATTATCAATTTCTGACATGCCTTCTGAATGTGTACATGGTAGGGAACGAAGATTTGCGTTTTAGGCCTAGAGCCGCTTCCTACGCTAAATATTTCCTTTCCGTGTAGCTATGAGGAGAATCTAGAGAGTCGTGGCAAGTCCATCGTTCAATTGCGCGAAGCCGCAATCAAACGCGTGATCATCCGAAACGGCTCGAAGCTCTCCCGTTTTAACATCGTCTACACGAAGGACCGCTTCTACTGGCCGCAAGAAACCATTCGGCATTGCCGTACGGGTCGAATCAAACGGGGGCAAGTTTTAAAACGGCAATTCGGCATTTACTACCCCGAAAAATCGCGCGATCTGATCGCCCTGAAGATCATGGAGAAGGTAGGCGCGAGCTGGAGGAATCCGAAGCGCGTAACGCGTAGACGGCGATCAGCGAAAGCTTCCAATGGGACGAAGACGACGTTCAGACCGAGCTGGGCGTGATGAAATCGCTGAGCGAGAGCGGGCGGCACGAGAACGTTCTCTTCCTCCTGGACGCCGTGGAGACGAAGGAGTACTTGATCGCGGTGATGGAGCTGGTGGACGGCGATCTGCACGACATGCTTGGCTCGGTGCGCGGAGACCACAAGATCGTGGACGTGTTCCGCCAGATCGTGCAGGGCTGCGCGTACATCAAGCAGCAGGGCTACTACCACTGCGATCTCTCGCTCGAGAACGTCCTCATCAAGCTCGTCCCCAACTACCACAACACCGGAAACACGCGGCTCATCGCCAAGCTCTCCGACTTCGGCCGCGTCCGCAAGCGCGACGACGACGGGTCCTGCCGCATCCGCGACGACGAGGTCGCGGGGAAGCCGTACTATCTCGCGCCCGAGGCGTACAACGGGTCGTACGAGGCGGGGCCGGCCGACGTGTGGTCGCTGGGCATCATCCTGTTTATCTTGATCACGGGGAGTCCGCCGTTCGGGATCGCGAACGACAGCGACGAGGTGTTCGAGCCCTTCGCGGAAATGGGGTTCGGGTATTTGGAGCCGGTGCTGCGCAGCTGCGAGGCTTCTGAGGAGGAGATCGGTGGGCGAGGGGATGGGCGGTCATGCGTAGCACTGCTGCGGAGAATGTTGGAGGTGCGGCCGGAGAAGAGACCCACGGTGGAGGAGATTTTGGAGCTGGAGTGGCTGAGTGCGTGATTGCGTCGTTTATCGTTGCTGCTCAGAGATGCGAGTCTCTGCTGTTTTTGCTGAGAGTGTTTGTTGGAATCAGGTTGTGCGGAGGAGGAAAGAATCGAGAGGAGGAAAAAAAGGACGGAAGTCGATGTGGGTAAAAGAAAAACAAATATTGAGTGAAAAAGTCAACATAGAATCAACGAAAATACCGCCATAGGGGTGTTGGAGTTGGAAGGATAATCAGAGATTAGCTAAGGAGAAATGAAGATCGGAAAAATCGATCTGTTATTGTATATACTCTTCTTCGCGTTTCTCTTACACCAAATTCCTGCCTTGTTGAAGAACTCATCCGATACTGGTTTGAACGGGTCCTTCAAGTCAAGTGAGAGAGACATTGTATCGAAAAACAATTCTCCTGCTTTTCGCTCTCCATCGAGTTCATCTGGTGCATCACAGCAAGGTAATGTACCAAACCTGTGACTTGTCTGTGGAGTACGTGATTCGTAGCAATAGTTCCTTCCCTTTTCGAGAGATGATTCCTCCTTCCGAAAAGAAGATTATCGCCTCTGCAGCGATGATGGCGCAATTTCAAATGCCCACTACTGACGTGTATCTATGCGAATTCGAGTTGATTGTAGTTCTCCGTCCTGGGATGAGTTCGTGGCGCGCCATTCTATGTAGGCATTCAACTACTTCCCCTCCCTCCTAGCAGCAAGGAAGAAGCCCTAACTCCAGTGGAGAATGATTGGCGTTTTATGGAGAACTTTTGTTTATTCGAGTCCAACAAAAGCATTTACCTCATCAACAACACAAAACTCTACCCTACCAAGAAATACCCCAGTACGCTTTCCTGGCCGCTTTTCACGTTTAGAAACGTTCTATTCGTGGTACTACAAGCGCTATCTCTATTTCCGAAACAACTCGCTGACTTCCTTTCCTCCCGGCATGCGAGTCCTCGACAGCGTCTATCTCTTCATGACGCGCGGCTGGGGCGGTTGGAACAACATTTACCACCACACCGAATGGGTGAACAACCTGCTTCGCTACGTCCACAAAGCCGCTTCACTGCCTCGCGTAAACCCTACCCCCGATTTTTGCCATTCTAGATGGAAACGGTGGCGTTCTACCCCGATCCGATCAATCAGAATCAAACCTTCGGCGACCCGAAGGGCCATTTCCGATGGGGCCTGGAGTATTACAAGCTGGCCAAGACGGTCTTTCCCGCCTCGTCGATGCCGCATTTCCTCGAGGGCTCCGATTATTCCGCGTTGAACGCGTCGTTCTGCGCTCGTCGAGGCGTAGCCCGCTTTTCTTTTGTGGGAGTAGATCATCGCACGCATCGTTCCGACCATGTACGACTCGTTTGTGAGCACTGCAGAGCCGATGCTGGTTCGTCTTTTAGCCTACCGCCAGTTCCGTCTCGCTCTCCGCACACAGCCGCCGTCTCGTCTGTCCGTCTTCTTTCTGAACCGGAACGGGGGCAGTCGGGGCATCCGGAACGTGGAGGAGATCATCGAGTACATGCAGAAAGCCAATGAAACTGAGCTGAACATTTCGTCCAATTCGCCGGCGACGTTTGAAGACCAGGTTCGAAGCGTGGCGCATATCGACGTGTATGTGAGCATGCATGGCGCAGCGATGACGAACATTCTGTTTATGGAGCCGCTGAGCGCGTTGATTGAAATGAACCCGCCCAAGTTCAAGGAAGCGTTTTACAGGAACATGGCGAGCAAGGCGAATTTGCTGTTCTATGGGATTTACAGTACGTACACGGAGAACATGGAATATTCGATGAGAGAGCAGTCGACGGCGAAGATTTTGAATCAATGGATTACGGTGCCTTTGAGGCTGTTTGGGAAAACGTTTGATCTAGCGACGAAGAATGTGTGGAAGTATAAATATAGAATGTGTGATTATTGAATTGTTTGTGGAAAAATAAAAGACGATTTTTATCTGACTTTGAAGATTTTCTTTGTTTCCTTCCTTTGCATGATTCGTCATAGCATTGATCTTTTGGGTGGTAGGGGAAATAGGTTGGATGAAATAAATAGCCATCTCAAAGAAAGGAAAAGCAGTACCGCGCGTTTTGGGTTGTGGAAGCAACCTAATGAATATCATTTCTTCCATAAAGTATATCCCAAAGGCGGGAGGCATCGGCTATTTTGCAGATGAGAACAAAGTGAAGGAACGGATTTTCCCTGATGAGTAGTATGAAGATTTCCGTATTGGGGGCGGAACCACACTAAATCATCTCTCGTGGGCGCAGATTCTCAATGTTCCTACTGCACTCTTGGCAATTCAAGTACGATCGAGTGTATCTCGTGTAACTCAGGGAACTGATGAATATGGAGTTTTGCTCCGTCAACGCATGGAGGAAATCGGAGTAAGCACCGATTACATCGTTGTGGACGACAAATACCACACCTCCGTATCCCACGTATTCATCGACTCGTACATTTTCCAATTTCCTACTCTCATGCTAGAACGGGCGATCAGCACACCTACATGTTTCGCGGCGCCACCAACTTCATCACTCCCGAGATCGTCCAAAAGCACTTCGTTCCCCACCTCCGCCACGCGAAGATCGTCACCTCCGAAATCAGCCAGGTTCCTCTCAGCAGCGTCAAATCGCTTTTCCAAGCCGCCGGCGAGCGTCACGTGCTCCGCTTCCTCGACATGGACCTTCCCTACAGCGTAGCCATCGGTGCTGCGCAGCTCGGCACGCCTGACGATGTTTGGTTTCCCCATTTCCCTTCTTTCTAGCTCGAAGCCTGCCTGGCCAACTGCGAAGTGCTCAAAGTCAAGTATCTTTCCTCCAAACCCCGATCACTTCCAGCCAAGGCGACGTCCCCGAGCTCTTCCCCGAGCTGGACGCGCAGATGCTTCTCCAAGAGCCGCCTCGCATCACAGCGGAGCGCATCGCCGACCGCTGTCCGACCGCTCAGTTCATCGCCGTGACGTCGGGGCGCAAGGGCGCAGGGCTCTGCATCCACGGCCACGAAGGCATCGGCATTCAGATCATCCCCGATATCGATTCTGCGGACGATACCGGCGCGGGGGACGCGTTTTTGGGCGGGTTAATCGCGGGATTGTATCATTGGGGGATGCCCCAATCGGAAGGGGACATAAAGAAATTGGGGCAATTGGGGTCGTTGTCGGGCGCGGCGTGCTGCCAGCAGTTCGGGACGCTTCCGGACGCGGAGAGCGTGATGAAGATGACGAGCATGGACGACATGAACATCGTGAAAGATTTGTTTCTGGTGCCCAGCGACGAAACCGCCCAGAGCGAAGCGCCCAAGCCCGCGCTGCCGACGAACGCGGTGGAGTTCTCGCTGCACGAGGACAAGGAGAACCTGAAGATGCTGCTGGAGGTGGGGGTTCGATTGGAATTCGATGGCAGACGATCGACAAATCGCAGTTCGAGCGCGTCGCGGAGATGATCCACACCAATCAGCAGCACGGACACAAGCTTTTCGTCTCCGCCGAGGGCAGTGCCGGCGCCGTCGGGCTTCGCCTGGCCGCCTCGCTCACGTCGATCGGGGTTTCGTCGCAGTTCGTCCCCGCGATCGAGTGGAATCACGGGGATCTCGGGCATTTGGCGAAGGGCGATTGCGTGCTGCTGATTTCAAACTCGGGGAGGAACGAGGACGTGCTGCGGCTGATCGAACCGTTCCGGAAGCGCGGCGTGGTCGTGCTGGGGATGTGCGGAAACAAGGGATCGCCGCTGCTGCACAAGGCCGATGCGGTAGGACATGATGGGGAGTGGGACGTAGGGGTTGTTCGTACCGGCGAATACGGAGCTGCTGAACTGTATTCCGACGAGAAGTATCGTGTCGCAGGAGGCAGCGGTGAATGCGTTGGTGTCGCAGGTGTGTTTGCTTCGGAATGTGAGTGCGGACGACTTTATTCGGAACCACCCGTCGGATGATCTGGCGAGTGCGGAGGAGAAGTAGTCGCGAAGTTTGGTTTTCATCATCTCTTTGGATTGTTTGTTTCAGAATCATGAGCGCGAATAAGGACCTGACTAGCTACATTGACATGGATCATCTCAAGATTCTAAATGTCACGCAAGACAGTAATGTGAAGTTCCTCTTCGAAGACTGCCTAAACGTCGTCGAAAGCCGTGTTGATCCCCAAATTCTGGTTGTAATATCCACTACGAGCGCATGCACCGAGTTCCTTAACCATGAACGTTCCATTCTTGCAGCCTATGAAACTGTTTTCTATAGGGATCGAGGCGCCGAACGATGGTTCGTACTGTTCGGAAAAATGTAACACGTAGAATCTGCTCCTACCGAAGTGGAGTTATTTGCAAATGTTTCAAATGTGAGCTTTTCGGACGTAGAAAACTTAGTTGCCACCGAAGTACGTTCTACTCAAGGTTTACGAAGCAGACAATGACACTCACGGAAGAAGATTTGAATCCCACATCGACTCGAAAGCTGAAGCCCCTGAAATGGAACAATGTTTCTTCGGTTGTGGTAAACGACTGAAGCTTTGGGCGTTTATTGTAGATATTTGTAAAGGAAAACCGCGGATCTCCTTCCACAGCTCTTTCTCGAATCAAGTTTTTTGGAAAGCCAGCTCATGTGCTTCAAGTATGTTTCTTACGTTGATCGTAACTTTTCCAATAGAATGTGAATGGTATTACAGAAGCTGCATCAAACGGTCCTTTCTGAGTATTGTTGTTTGTTTGAAACATGCCATAAAGGTGATTTCAAGTGGCGAATCGTCAATCCAAATTGAATTGAAAACTAAGAAAGTTTGTGTCTGGGGAGTTTCGTATCATTTGTACAGAGTTTAATAAATACTAGAGCAAACTAAATGGAGAATAAAATCGCCGAGTTTGAATCTTCCAAGAAAGAACAGAAGCATATGTCATGTAAAAGATTGAGAGATCAACTTTGCTTCGAAATGGGTGAAGATGTCGAACGAGAAGCAGCAATTATTCGTGAACTCTCTTCAAAGTGGGTAGTTATTTTTCCCTTTAAATTTAGTAACATTTCCAGTGATGTTCTCGCCACTATCAAAAACATGCAAGCTTGCAGCAGAATTCACTCGATCATTGCTTCAGTATGTTAAGTAACGGGTTTACGACATAGGTTGCTGCTGCCATTTGTATCGGCCTTTTTTGCGGTATTATTGCGGAAGAATATAAAAGCGACAAAAAAGTATATGTTGCTACGATTCTAGGATTCCTCATTGTGATTCTTGCTTTCATTTTTATGGTAACGAATGCAGCGTCAAAGAACAGCTATGAAAAATACCACTTATCCATAGTATGATTAGGGAATGGAAATAATGAATAGATGATGTGGAGCATTCCCACAGGCATTGTGATTGTATTTGTATATTTGATTTACACAGTTACAATGTTCTTTTATGAGAAAAACAGTCCTTCATATCTTTCCTTAGCAGTTTTCCTCAGCATCACGATTGTGTTCATGGTGTGCGATTTTTGAATGTGTAATGGAATAGATTGTGTCTGTTGTATATGTTGCTCGCGTACGAGATCAGTTTAAGCCGATTCCCAATCATTGTAGGGAGTGCTTGTTTTTGTTGAGTAGTAGTGAGACAATCTGTGATTAAAATTTTGTTAAAGTAGTTTGTATAACTGTTTGTTCACAAATTCCTTTCTTCCAATGATTCTCGACCCTAAAGTTTTGCGGTAGATTTTGCTTGCTACCCTGTTAGCACTAGTTATATGAGCACAGATGCTTTTCGCGTCTTGACTGCAATTGAAATGGGTATGAAAAACCACGACTTGGTACCCATCCCGTTGATTGTTTCGTTGTCTAATCTCCGTCACGGAGGCGTTCACAAGATTTTGTCGGACCTTCTTCGAGATAAGTTAGTATCCCACGAAAGAAAAGTGTAAAGTCTTCAAGCAGCTCAACTTACAATGCAGATACGATGGATACAGACTGACCTATCTTGGCTATGACTTTCTTGCTCTCCGCTCCATGATGAAGCGAGGAAACGTTGTTTCTGTTGGAAGAAAAATAGGTGTCGGTAAGGAATCCGATATTTATATTGTACAAAACGAGGAAGGAGAGGAACTGGCATTGAAGCTCCAGCGTCTCGGCCGTATTTCATTCCGTGCGATTAAACAAGTATCCGCATTTCTTCATCATTCCTGATAGAAACGAGACTATTTAGGCAAGCGACAGAGTGCGAGCTGGATGTACATGTCCCGTCTCGCTGCGATTAAAGAATTTGCCTTTATGAAGGCTCTCCATGACGCAGGATTCTCCGTACCGCGTCCTGTCGACCAGAACCGCCATTGCGTTCTCATGTCTCTAGCGAAGGGCATTCCTCTCTACCAAATCACCGAATACGACGCTGTTCCGCAAGTACTCGCTGCCCTTCACCTATCTAACCACCCAGCTCTATGATGCCATGATGGAGATGGTCGTCGATCTAGCGCGCCACGGTCTGATTCACGGCGATTTCAACGAGTTCAACCTCATTCTGGACGAGTCCACGCGCGCCCTGACCCTCATCGACTTTCCTCAGATGGTCAGCACTTCCCACGAAAACGCGGAAATGTCGAATTCTGGAATTCCATTAATCGAAGGTATTTCGACCGCGACGTCGAGTGCGTCGCGCGCTTCTTCCGACGGCGGTTCAACTACGAGCGAACCGTGGGAAATCGAAAGCCTGCTGAAGAGTAGGAAAAACCGCGGTTGTCGGATATAACGAACGAATTCAAACTGGATCGGAGCGTGCAGGCGAGCGGGTTCAGCGCGGAGGACGAGCAGCTGCTGCTGGAGGTGGGGGAAACGTGGAAACTCGAGGGTAGATGGCGGATATCGCGTTCGAAGAAGAAGAAAACCCGCGGGACGAAGACGAAGACGAAGACGAAGACGAAGAGGGAGAGGAGGTTAGCGAAGAAGAGGGAAACGGAGAAACTGGGGAAACTGGGGAAGAGGAAGGTGCGAAAGGCAAACAGTCCATCGAAAATGAAAATGAAAATGAAGAGAACGAAGAAGAAAAAGCGCGGGAAAATGATGAGGACGAAGAAAATGAAGAGAATGACTCTGATGATGATGATGATGATGATGAAGAAGAAGAAGAAGAAGAGGAAGAAGTTCGTGTGAAGGGAAAGAAGGGAGAATGTTTCCATTGCCATCAGCCCGGACACAAGATAAACAAGTGTCCTTTGCTGCATCCGGAGCTGCAGAAAGAGACGCGAATGAAGAAGAAGCGAAAGGACATCACGAGTTTGGAGATTCGAAATCGAGTGGGCGCTGTACGGAGAGATGAGATGTAGATTCGAAGAGGATTGGATAATCGAACGGAACGGAACAAGCTGAACAACCGGAACCAAGAGAAGAATAGAGAGAGAAGAAGAGTGAAGGAAGAGATTCACGAGTACTTTTAGATGAACCTGTTTGTTGAGAATACGAACTGAAATTGAACTGGACTCTAATGATATGAGCACTTGAAAAACAATAGATGTGAGTTATAATCTGACTATCAATTAAACATTGCTTATAATACAAGTCATTGCAAATATCCTCAATCCAATCTGTATGTATGTTATCGTTATGTTTGGATGGTATTTGATTCAATCCATTAATCGAATTGTACTACTTATGTTGAAAAAGTGATTGTACTTGTCATCATGTGAAAATCGACTTTCAGTTATACATTTCCTAGCATTCACACGATTGACGAGGATGGTTAGTACATTATTGTGTGAAGAGATAATGGGTTTTGATCTCTGGATGTGTAAATAATACGATTCATAATGTGACTGTGTACCACAATCAGCAGAGATGCCTTCAAATGATCCTTTGAATAGGGTATAAACAATCCTTATTCAAACGAATTTGAAATTATGAGCAATGCATTTGATGTGAATGACCTGAATGGAATAAGCATCAATATATGTGTAATGTGTTGTTTTCATACTCCAGTTCAGATTGCATTTGGACATAAAGCGATTTCTTTTTTGACATTTGCAGACTAATCATTCAGAGGCAATGACACCTTGAGTGAAATTGGATGATCGATAATGGCATCTTTAGTATATATATACAATATCATCCGTCTCTGATTGTATTGTGTTATTCTACTCTATTAGGATGTATGGAAAACAGATATGATAAATGGGAAGCAAGTGGTGGTTGTAAAATCATGATTTATCACAAATCCACTCTGACCAATGTGATTCATTGTTTGTTTGTTTGTTTGTTCATTCAGTTCTACCCAATTATTCCATTCTATCACTTCATAACATCTCTCTGAGTACTTCAATACAACCACAAGTACATAGAATTCAGCAAATCCACCTCACCTCACCTCGCCTCACCTCCTATAGGACATAATAACTAAATATATCGCTTTGCAAACTCCTTCCAATTAAACACCAATCGATTCACAATGCCATTACCACACACAAACAAACTAGCACGTTGGGAAAGGTTTCCAACATTCATTTTCACTTTTCCATCCCATTCTCTACCTATTTCACTATCCATTCAGCCATCTATCCATCATTCATTCCACTTTGTTCAACTTGATCATTTCTGCAAAATACATCCAATTATTGGTTTTCCAGAAATACAACCAATATTGACATTTGAACCTATTTCTCAATTGGTTTAGAATCTAGCTTTCATCCATGGGTCGTGTCATTCGCGGTAGGTGATAATTTGAAATTGGTTATCAACAACAACAATAACAGCAACGACAACACTCTTGCTGTTTCTTGCTTTTCTTTTTGCAATATTTGTATGATTTGCATTCTCCATATAGTATTTATGTCTAACTGCATATATAGGACAAAGAAAAGGAGCTAAAGGAGCTGTTTTCCAGGCTCACACTCACCTGCGTAAGGGAGTGCCTCAATTCCGTGCGTTGGACTATTCTGAGCGCAACGGATTCCTGAAGGGAGTGGTGCGAGAGATCGTTCACGATTCCGGTCGTGGCGCTCCTCTTGCTCGCGTGACTTTCCGCAATCCGTATTTGTGTTAGAGAGAAGGTGGCTAATGGGTAGTTACCACTTCAAGGTGGACAAGGAGCTGTTCCTGGCTGCTGAGGGTATGTTCACTGGCCAGAGCGTGTTCTGCGGTAAGAAGGCGGATATCAGCGTGGGTAACGTGCTTCCTCTGCGTGAGCTTCCTGAGGGAACTGTTGTGTGCAACGTGGAGCACAAGGTGGGGGATCGCGGCAGTCTGGCTCGGTGCTCTGGCGACTACGTGACTGTGATTGGGCACTCGGATGACCGCAGCATGACGTTCATCCGTCTGCCCTCGGGCATCAAGAAGACGGTTTCTTCGAGGTATGTTTTTCTCTCTTTGTGTTGGTTGTAACGCGTAGCTGCCGTGGCATGGTGGGAATCGTGGCTGGCGGAGGCCGCATGGACAAGCCGATGCTGAAGGCGGGTCGTGCGTACCACAAGTTCGCTGTGAAGCGCAATGAGTGGCCGAAGGTGCGCGGTGTGTGCATGAACCCTGTGGATCACCCGCACGGAGGAGGTAACCACCAGCACATTGGTAAGCCTTCGACTCGCAGCCGTGGCACTTGCCCCGGAAAGAAGGTGGGTCTGATTGCTGCTCGTCGCACTGGACGTATTCGTGGACGTGTGGAACCTTAAGAAGGAGTCGTGTGGATAGCATGGATGGAATTTGTGGAGCGAATGATGATAAATTGGATGAAAATGGGGTTGTTTGTTGGACTGAAACTCGTTTTCATGATAATGGCTGATGACTGAACGTGCGATGGAACCATTGATTTGGAATAAAAACCTCTATTACAAGGAATAAAATGGTAGGAGGTGTTGGAATATCGGTTGATGCGGTAGGCTGCTCGTCCTGTTGTTTCTGTGTACTCTGTGGAGACTGCTAACAAGATCGTGAGCACGGTCCCTCTTCCGTCTGTGTTCACTGCTCCCATTCGTACTGATGTGGTCCAGTTCGTCCACACGAAGTAAGTGGTGCTTTTAGTGTTGTGAGGTAGTCTGAACAAGAACCACCGCCAGCCGTACGCTGTGTTCAAGCGCGCTGGTCACCAGCACTCTGCTATCTCGTGGGGAACTGGTCGAGCTGTGGCTCGTGTTCCTCGTGTGTCTGGTGGAGGCACTGCTCGTTCTGGTCAGGGAGCGTTCGCTAACATGTGTCGCAAGGGTCGTATGTTCGCTCCGACGAAGATCTGGAGAAAGTGGCACCGTAAGGTGAACGTGAACCAGAAGAGATACGCTCTGGTGTCTGCTCTTGCTGCTTCTGCTGTTCCGGCTCTGGTGATGGCTCGTGGTCACAAGATCGACGGTGTGAGCGAGATTCCGTTCGTTGTGGATGACGCTCTGTGCAAGCTGACGAAGACGAAGGAGGCTGTGTCGTTCCTGCAGAAGAACGGTTGCTACGCGGACGTTGAGAGAGTGTCTGAGAGCAAGAAGATCCGCTGCGGTAAGGGCAAGATGCGCAACCGCCGATACACGATGCGCGTGGGTCCGATGGTGGTGTACGCTGACGGCGAGGAGGCGGTGGCGCTGCCGTTCCGCAACATTCCCGGCGTGGAGCTGTGCAACGTGAACCGCATGAACGTGCTGCGCATGGCGCCCGGTGGCCACGTGGGCCGCTTCGTGATCTGGACGAAGGCTGCGTTCGAGCGTCTGGAGGCTCTGTACGGCCCCGAGTCGGAGAAGGTGGGCTACACGATGCCGAAGAACGTGCTGACGGTGGCGGACATGGGCCGTCTGATCAACTCGGCGGAGATCCAGGCGGTGGTGCGTCCGGCGAAGAAGGTGGTGGCCTACCCGAAGAAGGCCAACGCGCTGAAGAACAAGGCCGTGATGGACAGCCTGAACCCCTACGCCGCCATCGCCCGCGCGGCCGAGCAGAAGGCCATGGAGGAGAACATCAAGCACAAGGCCGAGAACCTCGAGAAGAAGCGTGCGGAGAAGGCCAAGTACGCGGAGAAGAAGGCCGCCTACTATGAGAGCATGATGATGTAAGAAGAGAGCTCCGGCTCGGTCAGCCAGGGTTCGCTCAACCCGATGGAGGTAGTTTTGTTTGTTCGATGAAACCGTTTCGTTGGAAGAATCATTTTTATTTATTTTTTCGGCCGGCTTTCTTTACTAATGACTAACTATAAAGAGAAAAACCCGGGGTCCACAGTTTGGAGTATAATGCAGGTTAGTTTTCTGGATGTTTGTAATTTGTAGATAGTTGTTATTATATATATTGTCTGCACAGTGTTAGGCATGATTGCTACATCTACATCCTCAACTTTTGGAGTTTCCCTGTTCTTTCTAATGTTGTGGAATATTATCATTCTGATTGGGATTTTTGTTTTCTTCATTCTTAACAGATTGTTTGTATTTGTCGCTGTATTTTGTTTACTTTATAGTTCAGAGATTCCGATTTGTTCCATGGTCTTTTTGTAGGTGTTTCTTTCATGGCAGGCTTGAATATTTTGATTGAGGCTATTGTATTTATTGCCGAGTGTGTTATTCTCAACACAATCACTGACGCAACGTTTGCAAGGATTATGTATATAGTACTCGCGATAGTATCAATAATTCTGGCAGTCTTCGAGGTAGTTCTTCATTTGAGTCTGAATTTTAGTTTGTTTATGTGAAGTCAGCACTTTACTCGAAGAAGTAACTGTTGTCAAATCGTTGATGATGATTTCTACTTAATTGTCATCGATTTGCTCTATTTGTTTGTGAGATTACTCGTGTTTGATGTCTTGCCTTCTTTATTTAAATGCACTATGGTAGTGTGTTTCTGTTCATCGAGCAAATGGCCTAATACTGTATCCGGTAGTAAAATAGGAAGCGAAACATCAATGTGTTGGCTATTATTACGTTATAGCTCTTTTCGGGCAATAGCGTGCTAACCGTACATTACTCTTTCAAAGTGGTCACTCTGTTCTGTAAATAGTACAGTGTTGCGAAAGGAAGTGCTCATGTTACTCGTCTTTTCAAATATGGATTAGTCTTGAAATGATTATAATGTAAAGCAGTATATTTGACAGAATAACCTTTGTGAAAACGTCAATAACATTATTTTAGTAGAGGAACAAGTAAAATGCAGTGAAGAATCGGCGAAACGAACCAGACGATGATGACGATGATGGATGGAGGATATGTATCCTATGAAGATCTGTGTAGACAGCACATGGAGGCGTTTATGAACGGAGTCGAAAAATTCACGAGGGAAACGAAGCTGGGAAAGCGAGTAGCAGAATGGGAAACGAAGATTGTACCGGTCTTAGAAGAACAAGATCGACGTGAAGAATTTGATATTCATAAAAACAGCGAAGAATTGATTGAGGAATTGAATGCAAAGGACAAAAAAGAAGCTTCCGTTGCTGAATTGTCGAAACAAAGAAAACCCTATGAAGTATCGAGAATGTTTGTCTCTCTGCTTCAAATGGCTAATGATGGAACGATTTTGATTCAAAACAAGGGAGAAATGGGAAATGTTGAAACACGGCTAATGAACCATAAATTGTAGTAGATATGCTGTTTGTTATCAAACCATTTTATTAAAATAAAACAACGCGTGATTTTTGATTGCCTTGGCAAACGATCAGTTGCTTCAAATAGAACAATGCAGTCTTCTAAATGTAACTGTCTCGAATTCTAAAAGAATCTAGTAGAGAACTCGATTCGAAATCTTTTCCTTGTAGATCCATAATTCTTTTAATAATGAATCCTGCTGTGTTGTTTGAATCTTCGTTCGATATTTTGTACCTCTCTACGATTCTGATCCTGGGTTTCCGAATGCTTCTTCGTAAATCCCCTAATAAGGAATATCGACTTTTTTCTTATATGTGCTTAATCCTTGGTTTCGGAGACTGCTTCCATCTTCTCCCTCGCGCTTATGGGCTTAATATGGGTAAAACAGAAGCAGTGGTTGCTGCAATCGGAATTGGTAATGCAGTGAGCTCCATCGGCATGGCCATATTCTATGTCATTATGTTTGAGCTTATCTCGCTGCATTATAAACAAAACCTCAATGAACTGCGCTGGGCTACATATATTTTATTCGCATTACGTGTTATCTTTGTATTGCTACCTCAAAACGACTGGATTCACAACACTCATAATCCGCTTATGAGCTGGCTTCGGAATATCCCCTTTATTCTTATTGGGGTTATTGTCGATGTTTTGCTTTTCCGGTACTCGAGGAAGGAAGCTGACGATCCTTTTAGAGGAATATGGTTCTGGGTGTTGGTGTCTTTTGGATGCTACATGCCCGTGGCGTTGATTCATTTAGGGGGAATGAAGGATGCTTTGTTGATGATTGTAAAGACGATTGCTTATGTGATGATTGTGGTTTTGGGTTACATGAGAATCCCTTGTGATATAAAGAGAGATTAGCTTTTTTTTTGTTTGTTTAAAAGTAATGCCAATATTTGATTATTGTTTTTTCCAGTTTACTCCACGTTGAATCCACATTATAACAAGATATGTTAATATCTTCATAATTTTTTTTGCTTTTCATGTCAAAACCAAACATAGGCAGTAGTTCAGAGTATCCAGTACAGGTATATATATAATTCCAATATTTCTTGACTGTAGTTCTTGGTTGCAGACAAAGACTCCAATACTTTTCATATGAGGAAGGAGGTTATGCAGTATATAATGAAACAAGTTTGAGCTTTCGTATCTTTTTATGTAGATACCAAAAACAGTACCCATAGCAGTTCTTTCAATTGTTGGTGCATTCCGAAGTGGAAAATCGTTTCTCCTCAATTTTATCCTGAGATATTTGCATGCATTAGAGAGTCAGGTTGTGATATGCCACTCATCCTTAGATAATGCAGATATGAAGACTATAAATAAGGACGGTATCTATTCTTGGATCCTGTATGGCGGAGCGATATTGGAAGGCTATTCTGGCAATACTTCAAACTCCAAGGGATTCAACTTTCGAGGAGGAGATGCACGTAATACAGAAGGCATATGGTTCTGGAACAAACCATTCATTATTCCAGATCCTACAACTGCTGGAGGCAAAATGGCTGTATTAATTATGGATACGCAGGGAATGTGGGACGGACAAACAGGTCAAGGACTTACAGCAAGTATATTCGGTCTATCCACATTACTCTCATCATATCAGATTTATAACGTAGACCGAAGACTCCAAGAAGATTTTCTCCAACACTTAGCTCTGTTTACCGATTACAGTATTCGTATCCGCGATTCGGGAAAAAGCGGAGATCATCCCCCATTCCAGCATATTGACTTCCTTGTTAGGGATTATGCTAATTTCCGAAACGAGAGTAATCAAGCTAGCTGCCTAAAAGAAATGGAATCCTACAAAAACAGCTTCCTATCTCCTAGAAATACGGAAGATTTGAATGAAACTCGCAACCAGATAAAGGAGTGTTATCAAATAATTGATGTGTATTGTCTACCACACCCTGGATTAGAAGTGAGTAGAGTGAGCTATGATGGGACCATAAAAACGATATCTTCAG